TACCGGCACCAGCTCGCTTGTGACATGTTATAAAATAGCTCACCCACTTTTACTGCTACATAGCCGTGCGCGTTTGTTTTGGATTTTATTTTACAAACTGCGTTTACACTTCATGGCATGGGATGATACAGCTTTACACTCTCGTCGTTATAAGAGTCTTAAATGTTCAACTTTAATATTTACTATTTGCGCAAGAGAGCATTTAATATTGCCCTTTATACGGCGTGTTAACTGCCTTTTTGCTTAGTGAAAACTTAGAAAATTAAAAATTTAAGAGTGCGCTCGTCTTATGATACTTTAAATCTTGCTGCAAAAAAAAAATTGTTGGAAAATTTTATAACAGTAATTTAAAAAAAATGCTATTACTTCAATGGCACGTGATTCGTCGTAAAAGTCTCACTGCTCAGAAATAAATGCCCTTCTGAAACCACCGTCAGTTACAACCAGCAGATATGCTATATGTATACGAGTTTCGCTGTGTATGATAAGATGCCCTTCAAGCTGAATTCATTGCCACGGTGTAAACTTTGCCACTAGCTTATTCTTCGTTTTTTTTTTCAACTGCAAGATAAAGTAAATGAAATCGAACATACAGAAGAAAAAAGTTTGGTAATAGAGATTCGGTATCTTTTACGGGTTCCGATTGAGAGAAAAAAAAGCCGCGTGTATTCTGTTATTCAGCTCGAGCGGCAAAGTCTTTGATAGATTTCGAATGGCACTTGGTGCAAAGCGAATTACTCAGTATGTTGTAAAGAGTACGAGATTCGAGACCTTTTATATAGATCTTATTTCTTTTACGGTATGGAGGTTCTTAACTTTAAAGTTTTTTTTTATAGACTGCAGAGGAAAAAATCGTAATAAAACTTTTGAATATGAATTGTTGGCAAAAAATATGTTTCCTATAAACAGAAATCAATAAATTTTTATCGAATCAATAGCAATAGGCAGTCGATATATTTATACGCAAATATAATCGTTTTTTTTTTCCTTTAATGATTACTGTAGAGAGCATAGTAAATTGGATTGAAACCGCTGGAGCTGCTGCACTTGGAAAAAATCCCGAACGGAAACTTTTCTTCTCTCCCCATTGTTTCAATGGAAACAAAGAATGATGTTTCCGCTTTACATCGTATTCGACTCGAGTAAAAAGTAATCGCAAAATACCTGCCCTCTGGCCTGTTCATATGGGATGTATATATTTAAATGTATATATGTGTAAATAGAAAGAGAGTAAAAGTATAGAAGCAGCAAATCTATGTAAGATTGTCGACAACTGCACGCGCGCTGCAACGTAGCAACAACAATGAAAATCGACCGCACACACACACAAAAACAAACAAACCCTTGGCGCAGCGCACGGCAGCAGCAGCTGGACCGAGTAACAAAAGCTCCTCACCACTCACCAGAGTCCAAAAGGACAATGTAACAAGAGTAAATGTACTAACACTGCCACACGTATGTGTACGTGTGTTTGTGTGCACGCTTGGGTCTCTGCCGGGGGGTTGTCCAGTCTACGGAGCACCACCTCTGCGTCGTATATCTAACGCAAACGTGTGTGTACACTGGTGCACTACTGCCTTATATATAGGCCGGAACAGGAACGTATTTATCAATAATCCAAAAGATAATGCTGCAGCCAGGGCCCAGCTATACACGTAGACGATGATATAGCATTGGCCTCTGCTCTACTGGTGTTCGATTCACATTGAGTGCGGAAATACCTACAGTAGCTATACGATGTTAGCACTCCCATTCGCCCCCTATATAAAGCGCGCTCTCTCTCTGTGGCTTTATAATCTGTTATCTTCTTTCTGTCCGTGTCTTTACTCTTAGTCGGGCGTCGAGCAGCCTTTTATCTTTATCGTGCCAAAGTCTATGTTTACATATCGTTTGCGAGGCTGTCACATTAATAATTCAGTGCCAAGTGTACTTTTCTGATCCCCGACCAAATTAATATAAATTTGACTGTGAACTCACCCATTATCCACTCAACTGTATTATCATTTCTGCACCTTTGTGCAATTGACTTCAAGCACTGCTTTTATCGAAATATAGAAGCTAATATTACCATAAGTCAAACGGTGCTTTGACCCATGGAAATTACATTTTTTAATAGCGTACTTATCTGCCGGTGATTAATCTGACTTACCGCGTTGCATGTCGAAAATTCGCGCGAAAGCGCCTTTCTTGTAGTTGAAATTTCTTCTGGGGAAAAAAGCTTTGTCGTCGGCTTTATCGGTAGATAGCTTTTTTCTTGGAACCATTCGCCACGGCGTATAGCTCGATCCACTCTATTCAAGCGTGTGCGTGAAGCGTCCTCCTCTTCCTCAATGAGGGCTGCAATGTACATACTTGGCCACATCATCTTTCACATATAGTCATGATGGTCCTGGCGGCATAAAAGCGTTATTCCGCCATAATCCGACATAAGGTCATCCGGTGCACTTCTACTCGTTTTCGCGATTTACCAAGTATGCGCGTGAGAGAGAGAGGAAGAAAGCAACTCGCTGCTGCTGCTGCTGCTGCCACGGTCGACATCATCTCGCCCAGAGGCCATGCACTGATGCTGCAAAAGGGGAAAGGAGTGGCCGTTATATTACAAACTCCTCTGCTACGAGATGCCTGTACAGTTCAGAGTTATAGATAAGTTTGAGATAGCTAGTGTATTATGACTTTTGAGATGGTCTGCAGAAAGCCTTCTCTCTCCTACCATCTCTCTCTTTATCTCTCCTTCATATCCTCCGCTGCGTTTCACATGATTTGATGCAAAGAGCTTGAAATTCGAATAGGGCATATGTGCACTAGCTGTTTCCTAAAGCGACTTTACAGTTAGTATCTGATTCAGTAAGACTTTACGGTGCAGCGAAGTAGTACGAGCTCGATGTGGTCAGACAGAGACGGGCAGGCTCGGTTATTTTACGAGCCACTGAGATTAGATGCAGTTGATGGTTTATGTCAACAAAGTAAGTTCATTCATATGTTTCTTGAGTGCTCATATTATTGTAAACAATATAACTTGTTACTCATTTTATCGGCGATAAGCGGGATTAGACATTAATGGCAAAAGCACATGCAAACAAAGTAAGCTAATCTACGTGTTTCATGAGTACTCGATTATTGCAAACAACGCAACTTGTTATTTATTTTATCGTCGATGAGCGGGATTAGACATTAATGGCAAAAGCATTCGGAAGTTTGAGATAAAGCGTAGCTAAAAAGAAAAAGTTTGTACAGCTTTGACGTATAAAAATAAAAGGATGATAGATAAAGTTATAAAGCCTAGGCGAAAATGTAGGCGATGTTATACGTGTAAAATTACCAGCCTTTTTCACGTCGCTCATTCCCATCTTTACCACGCCGCAAGGCGCGAAACACGAGCCTTTGAAAAAGTTTTATCAAGAGGTTCGAGCTCGCGTCGATTCTTCTCTCTTTTTCCCCCTCACATCAACTGGTTTCTCGTCAGAGCGAGCCTTTTGTGCATGGTATACGATCTTTCAATCGGCCATTGATGTTTGCTTTTTTTTACTCTCTCTCTTTTCTCCACATTGTCACCATGGCTACTTCGATTTTTTCGGTGGACCTTTTCATTTTTAAGTATCCACCTTATCAAGCTAGCCAAAGCAAGTTCAAGATGCATCGTTCAATATTCATTGATCGATTTAGAGATTATGCTAATAGGAAAATACCATAGTAATACTATCCATCAGTGCAATGTTTAATGATATTCTTGATCCAGTTACCAAAAATTTTTTCATCAGAGGAATAAAACATTAGTAACGTGTATTTTAATATAGTTCAAGTTACATAAGAATGAATTGAAAATTGAAAAACAAGTGGGTTATTGTTTTTAATTTATAAAAAATTATTTTGTGTTGTGTTTGAAAAATTACGTTAAAAAAACTAATTTTTCATTAAAACAATTTTCGTTGACATAAATTATAAGTGCTTTCTTTGAAAAATGCAGCTTTTATATTAGATTACAAGGTACTAAAGGTTTCCTGTTTCAATGAAAACTATACCCATGGGGCTAAATACATAAATTACATTAAGCACGATCATAAAATGTTCCAATATTTATCATACCATATAATATCATCATATCATATAATGAAAACTATTACTATTAGATAATACTCCGTGTTTCGGTTGCACCGGGTGCTCTTGAGTATTTTCTTGTTTTTTTCAAAATTGAACTTTGTTAACTTACGTCGAGAACAAAGTGTGCATCCTGTGCTTTTCTTACATTAACTTGGCAATATGTTGGATGAACTTTAAAAAAAGGGGCGTATAATTGGTGCTCACGGGGTTTGCCCGTTAAAACTTGGCAAATTTAGAACATCATCATTATGTGCCGCATTAAAAAAAATTACTATTAAAACTTTGCAGGCTTCTATAAACTGATTTTCAAACAAATAATGAGTCTGTTAAGATAAGACAGTCATAATTTTCATTGTTCATAAAAATACTTTCATCGTGAATGACCGCAGCGTCCCATAAATATTCCCTTTCAATAACAAATTGTAAATAAGTAATACCCGACAAAGCTCATGGGAAAACATCGATGAGAGGTACATAAGGCCATAAATAGGTATATATAGAGCTCCGCCCCCCCCCCCCCCCCCCCCCCCCCCCCNCCCCCCCCCCCCCAAGCCGAGGAGGCGAAAAAGGAATGTAGTTCACGAAGCGTGAAATCCTATTTTAGAGCTTTTAGAACGTAGATGCAATAGTGGTAACGTTCTGTCCACGTTTTTCTCTTCGCATGTCTGCGGCGGCGGTTACTGTGCTGGCACGCGCGCTAAGGCAGAAAAACCGGAGTTGGCCATCTTGATCCTACGTCTCCTCGGATATTTTTTTTCCTATCTCATTCTTATCCCTCATTTCCGGCTCGATACGCGTTTTGACCCCCTCGACACTCGTACATTTCGAAAGTAAGAAAATCATAACGTTATTACAAATCCGATGATAAATTAACCGTTCTTTACTTTTTTCTCTCTTTTCAGAGATTCAAAAAATCCAGGCCAGCGGTAAGCCCATAAAGGATCAAAAGTATGTAGACATTTATCGAGAGAAACCAATCAAAGTGTCCGTAAAGGTACTAGTGCCTGTGCGTGAACACCCCAAGGTGAGTAATAGACCTTTTAACTTCTTTATATCCGCTACCTGTTTCAATGACTGGGAACAATTTTTTTCGGATTGAGAGAATACCCCGAGTATCTGACTTGACATTTTTAAATTAAAATACTAAATTTTAGTAATAGAACATTGCGATGTAATAGTTCGATGTTGAGGTAATCTTTTTTTATTTAACTTTATTTCATCTACATGAAAAAAGTTATCAGTTTTGTGTAACTTTGCTGATTAGTTTTAAAAAATTGTTTATCGAATAAGAAATGATTAAAATATTTCTAATTAAAATTTTCCCTGCAATAAATAACTTAGTATCTGTAAATACGTGATAAAATTTAAATTTTAAAGTAACTATATGGTACATGCAGCACAAGCTACATCTGGAGTTGTTTATCTTTATTTTATATGGTCGTCGTTGAAGCCACTTCCGCCGCTGGCCTAGTATCATTATTTCTGTATTAATTACTATCTCGGCTAACAACATTCGCCGACTCTGTGACTTAAACAGCCTTTTCGCTTGGCGTATTTGCCAACTGAAAGTTGCCTCACCCCAATTACGACGACGACGCCGGCAAAACTATTATACCTGATGGGGTTGATGAACTTTCCGCGAGGATTCGATTGGCCGAGTACACTTTTCCTGACTCACGATGTTTTGTTTTGCATTGTTGTATGAACTTTAATGTTTTGCTAGCGCTTTCGAAAGGGTTTTGTGACAATTTTTCATTTTTTTGTATTCATTTCCAAGAATAAGTAGCAATTTTTTATCATAACACTTGGAGTTTAAAGTCATTGGGAACAAAAATTTTTTCAGGGAAGAAGTGGATTTTTTATTTATCATACATTCTGCTCAACATCATTCAACCAGTATTGAAATATACTGTTCAAACAAGAAAATTATAATCCTTGTAGCATTTTAAAATACGCAAAACTGCTGAATACGTATTTAACAATAACGAGCTAGTATTCATCATGGAGAAATTTACGTGAAAATGACTTATTTTGAGGAAAATTTAACGCTTTTCAAAAAAATGCGCAGTCATATTTCGTAGCGATGATTAGTTTAGTTAATATGAAATAGTTGACACAGTTTGCCAAAAGTTGAAATTAGTTTGGGGGAAGTTGTTGCTCCGACACTATATCGCACGAGTAAACACGTTGAAAAATGAATAACAAGCGGATATAAACAGAAATAAAACGATCAGTTTAGCATTACCAGAATTGCAACCGCAAGCAATCACCGTATGATGTCGTTCTGGAATAGTTTGGGAGGCACATATCCTGAATTCTGCACGGTTGCCCTTGCATTCGCCATCGCGCTTTCCTTCCGCCCTCTGTGTGTCCTATCTATCTCTGTCTCTCTCAAAGGAATAAATTATTGGCCTTGCGGTTTATTTGTTTCTCGGCTTTTATTTATGCTTCTGTATCATTTTCCTATTTTCTTCATAGCACGACGTTATATATAACACAGCTTCAGCAGTATGCGAAGTCGCGATGGGACACTTTGTGAGGTGCACTAATTTTAATTTTTCTCGCGTTTTCGCGTCCCGCGCTCGCCCAAGTTATTTACGGTGCTCAAGGGAATCCGCTCTCAAGCGTGCAACTGGCCTAAGAGGGAATATGAGTAGATTAGCATATTATGACAACGGCAAGTAATTTCAGGACGAGCTTCGAAGTCTGCTGTGCTGCTCCCTTGAAATGTACACTCTTAAAGGGTAGATAAAAAATGGGGATACAGTCAACGACGTGGCCGCAGCCGCATGTTTCGAGTGGAGGAGAAATTTTGCATGGCTATAATATTACTTTCTTCGTTTTAGACATTCGCGCACAACACCGGTCTGGGCGGAATAAACACGCATTAGTGTAAATCGCTGGTGCGTTTTATACGCGGACCCGAGAGATTTATTGTGGCCAAGCTTGCGAGCTGGGGGAAATCGTTGTTTTGTTGTTATGTATAACGCCGCACCCCGTCAGTGAGCACGGCATTATATTTTAGATGACTGCGTCATTATAAGATGATATTTCAAAATAATGATATTCTTTATCTCTGTCGTACCGATGGTACTGTTGCACGATTAAAACATTTTAAAAAATTGACGTTTCCATTAACGTGAAACGGGCTCATCTTGCAAATGAGATCGCAGTGTGATATCATTTATTTACAAAATGGCCTTGTTATTCCGACAAAGAAATTGGCCGAGCACTACGCACAATCGCTACGGTTACTTTAATCATTCGCTCTCGAGATTTATAGGATAAGTTGAATTTTTTTACGCGAAACTTCAAAACTATAAAGCTGCTGCAAGCACTTCAATTTTTTTCGCGCGCTCGCGTTCGACTCCGTACACTACTTGCAAAATGTAACGTCTCTGCCACTTTACATATCACGCGGGCGCGCTCTCGGTAAGTATTGCCTATATCTCGTATGCCAATCTTGAAATTGATGGATCGCGCGCGTGTACTCGCGCGCATCCGTGTGCCCAAGTAAACATTCGCTTTTATTCATAACATCCGACGCCCTATATATAGGAGCTGCTGGCGCTAGCGAATGAATGAAAGTTGTTGGAAGGCTCCGCAGCCGTGTACGCGCGTTACGTTCTCTCCTCCACTTTCCAGGCTCATTAAATATATAAAGATAAATCGATACAGGCGTGCATTGGCAGCTATACGTGGGGCTATATAATATTCCGCACACCTGTTCGACGTATCTGCAAATTTATCTATTACTGTCCTTGAAACGCATAAAGGCTCTGATTGATCGTCCTGCTTTCGCATTACCGGATTCCGAGTTCGGATGCCGAACGGGTTTTGTGTTCGTTTCGGTCATTATCGCGCGCTGCACGTCTCAAGCTGCAGTGCGCATCGCCAACTTGACACGCGGAGAGATGACTCGAGCTGCATTACGAATGTCGTCTATTTATAGGTTATCAGCCTATCACTCGGAATAACGCGATCTGTTAGGATGCCACTCGAGCGTGTATGTGTATGTGCGTGTATATTATGTTGTACGGATCAGTATGATATATCGTACTTGTGTTCAGAAAACCGATCTCACTCTCCAGTCTCTCTCTCTCTCTCCGTCTGGCTATATGATGATTCCCTCGGGCTGGAATATAAACGCTCGTCCTGCTATTTGTTAGCTGCGGTTGAGCTGATTTTGTTGCTTTCCAGGGAAATTGCTCGGTGCACCGATATTTATAGACTTTGTTTGCTACTTTATGCGCTATATACGCCTGGATGCTCCTAATTCCTCGAATTTCCGAAGCTATATGATGGGCAAAGCGACGTTAATAGACGCGCTGCTAATCGGGTCACTTGCCAATGGCATTGGCCGCAACGCTATACGTCGCGTCAAAAACTGATCGTTTCCACTTGTATTCTCTGAGGTGCGCGCGCGGCCTTTGAATATTTAATCTCTCGGTATGTACCATAATGGATTTACTCGGTTACGTTGATGTGCAGTCGTTGCAATTAGTTGTTCCAAGATTATCTCGAATAGGCTAGTAGTAGTTCAAGAATTGCAAAGGGGAATAAGCACATGCGGGCAGAGAGTCAAGAACAGGCTCTGCGTCGGTGATTAATGGACTGACTCTCTCTCTCTCTCTGCATCGCGACTTGGACCATATTCCACCGGTGCGCACGGGGAAAATCCTAGCCGTGCAGTCTATACGAGTGTACACGTGTTCGTGTGTGCATGTATATGTATATCACATGCGTGTAACGGGCTATACATCTCTAAGTACTTGACTCGCTCTCTCTCTTGCTGAAGTCATCTTTCTCCCATTCATCGCCTGCCATGTGTTGACATCGTGTACCTACTTGTTATTTAATAGATTCAGGCATTATATTCTCGTTATACGACCATGTTTTGTAGTTTTCTTTCAATAAACTGTAAAGGCGTACGACTATTCTACTAATTTCAGTAAAAAATATATCAAAGAATGAATATTTATTCATTGTATGCCTGCTTATTGTAAATATTTTTTGTTATAGGTGTAGATTACGAAAGAAATTTCTAGTCTTTACTCGCTAACATTTTATGTCTGGGCTTTTTTTGACCATACGACAGAACTGGCTTCTTATATCTTATATTAGTTTCGTCTGCTTGGCTCGGACCAGCTCGCTCGTCCCTTTTTTTTCCACGGGCCGTGGATACTGCATTGGGTTACTTATGAAAGGGGATGATATGGCTTTCGTGACCTGACTTTATATATACTGGCAAATCCTTTTTTATTGAAGGTGGCTAAGGCCCCAGGATTTTCAACATACTGCGCGTGAAAAAAGTAAATAAAACTCGCAGTCAATAATGCTATCAACTGCATGCAAAGCATTTTTTTTAAACTTTTCGACTCTTTACCACATTCTTTTGCATTTTTTTGTTTTTTCCCTCTCGTCGTCGATTGATACTCGAGTGAATTCGACGCGCTTTTCAATTTCCGCTCATGATTGAACACTATTATTGACATTTTTCCTTTTTTATTGCAAAAAAAGTGTACGGATGAATTATGTTTTTTGAAGGCTCGAAATTCATCGCTAATAAATATCGGGGAAAGATTTATTCATGAGTATTGATCGTATAGCCGTACACTAACTATTTTGAATTGTCATTTCTGAAATCAATCATCCATTACCCAAAGCAAACCAAAATAATTTACGTAGCAATAGTAGCAATTGTTGTATAAACTTGATTGAATTCGAACTACGTTGAGCTAACAATATTCATTAAATTAAATAACAGTTGGTCTATTTTATTTACCTAACGTAATAACTGTATGTAACTGGCTTAGTTAAAATCTTCGTACTGCTTTTCACGCTGCGAATCTACATCAGCCGATGATAAACTATGATTAAAAATATATTTAATGTCCCGATAACAAGCAAAATCGACAAGCAATTCAATTTACAAACGATGCTTTAACGATCGAATGGTGGTAAATCAACAAGTATTTAACTATGAAATGTGATTAATGGTTTTGCTCGTAACTTCATACGTAC